AAATTATTGTTGAAAACTCTCGCCAACTGTGATTTTGCACGGCGGAGATGTCAATAAACAAAACAAATTTAATTACCATAGTTTCGTAGTAGCACTAGAGATAATAAAACTTTAAAAAATACGATACATTTTTAGATATTTTTCTATATATTTTATTCAAATATATTTATTTTTATATTTTTTTAATCTTAACATGTTTCAGAAGAATGAGGATGGCATAATGTAATACTGAAACATGTTAAGATAAAAAAATATATCGTATTTTTAAAGTTTTATTAAAACAAATTTACAACAACAATAATACCATTCTCTCTGTCAAATCCAGTCAAGGTTATGAACCAAAAGCACCAAAGAAGGTTATGAACCAAAAGCACCAAAGAAATTCTCGCAAGAGGAAATCAATAAGAAACTTCAAGATGAGTACCAACAGAGACTAAATAACATAAGATTGACATTGATCCGAAGACGCTTCGAAACGAAGTGTGGCACCAAAACGTGCAAGAATGGCCACAAATAGACGATGGAATGCTTTTAAGCTACATTCTGAGCGTTAAAGCTGTTGATGTAGAGTACATTGGGAAGTATAAGGACCAGAAGGCATACTCTTATTGGCTCAGTGGATTTAAAGACACCGTGTTTCACGCTATACATAATAACTTTGTGTTTTTGAAAGGTTATGTCTCTACATCACAGAAGATCCACATCAAGTATGGATTTGCATGGAAGGACCAAAGAATAATCCCAGAATTGTTACATCGTGGTGTACATGCATAGCTGGAACTGGGGAGGAATRTAACCATGTCATTGCCCTACTTTATAAAGTTAACTATGCTGTAAAGAAGGACTATGCATCACCAGCATGCACAAGCATTCCCCAAGTATGGAATAGCGGGACAAAGAAAGAGGTCCGTCCGAGCCAGATAAGGGATCTCAACTTTGTTAAACATAAGAAAACCAGAAAGKAAAATGATATAGATCCAGCAATGTCACAAGAATTAAGGAAATACTTTGATCCCAGGAAACCTAATGACAGAGTGCTCACTGATGAGAGAGTGTCTGATCTTCTGTGTGCCATTAAAGAATGTGAGCCATCATGCTGTGTACTTAATTCTATAGAACACGCCAGAGATGATGGTCTCCCTCAGTCTTTGAAAGATAAAGCTGCAGATTTTATATCACTTAATRATATAAAAAATAAAACCTGCGAAGAAGTAACACCTCCATTTTCAGAGTATTGCCAGATGTCCAGTGATCAAGTTAGAAGAATAGAAGTTACCACTCGAGGACAAAGCAGTAATAAAGAATGGTTTAAGCACAGAGAAGGACGTATTACAACAACATGGCGGCCACGACATTTTTAGCTCCGTCAATTATATTGTTAACTGTACTAATTCTTCATTCTAAACTGGTGGATAAGCAAAATATTGTCCAAGTATTACCTGGCAGTGATTTGAACATTACTTTGGCGCCGAAACTATCWGTACAAGGGCTAATATTGGTGATTTCAWTGACCTCAAGGAGCAACCATSTGCGAGTTGATACCACAAGTAMGAGCAAGTTATCGTACTTGACAATGTTACTATTACTATCAAGCGGAGATATACAACTCAACCCAGGACCTAATTGGAAATATCCATGCGCTATCTGCTTGAAACCAGTTAAATCGAATCAAAAAGGGATTCAATGCGATGAGTGTTCATTTTGGCACCACATGAAGTGTTGCRAAATTGGGAACGACACGTACAACATCCTGGCTAACTCATCATGTTATTGGATTTGCACTAAATGTGGAGTACTCAACTTCTCAACCTCGTCTTCTTGTTTTACGGGCAAGCTGGGAATTCGTCTTGTGTCGCTTATTCTTTTCAGGTTCTCTCGGACTCGTCATCTGATTCTACAGATAATATCGATCTCGACCTAAACCAAGCGCCATYTTCAACTTCCARAACAAAGACAACAAASAAACAATCTGCTAAACAAAAGCAGAAAATACCTAAATTAAAAGTCCTAAGTTTAAACTGTAATAGTATAAGGAGCCAAAGGAAAAGTGGTATGCTTAAGATCTTGATTGACGAAGAAAAACCTCATATAATTATTGGTTCTGAGTCTTAACTCGATAGCTCAATTGACAACAATGAAGTGTTCCCTCGAGATTATGAAATATTTCGCAAGGATAGAATAGCTGATAATCCAGGAGGAGGAGTGTTTATATATACTATAATTGCAACTCGCCAAGTTCAACTAGACTGTGAGGCCGAAATAATCTGGATAAAAGTTGAATCRGCTAAWCAAAAACCGTTATACATTGCCTYATTTTACAGACCTACAAATGATGACCTTGACCCTCTCATTGCAGTAGAAAATTCACTCAATGTTCTAMAGAAAGATGATTCATTCCCAAGAATAATTATCGCAGGAGATGTTAATACACCAGATATTAATTGGTCAAATTCCACAGTCATAAATAATCCACAATATGGCCTGGCACTGAACCATAAACTTTTCGAAATTATTGAGGACCATGCTCTCTCCCAACATGYAAATTTCACAACAAGACAAGATTCTATACTGGATCTAGTATTTACTAGTCATCCTCATTTAATTTATATCCAGTACTGAAGGTATCAGTGATCATTCAGGAGTAGTCTTCGATTTGAATCTGGCAATCAAATCTAACAAGAAAAAGCCAAGAACAGTGTACAGATTTGGTAAAGCTAACTTTGACGATATTAAACAGGATGCTGAAATTCTGAGCAACGCGTTCTTTGATAGACATCCAGACACCTATTCAATTGAGAACAACTGGCAATACTTTAAGACAGGCTTKTTAAAGATACTGGAAGAGAGAGTTCCATGTAAAAGATTGGGTTYTTGGAACGATACTCCTTGGATTACTAAAAATCTCAAGAAAACCTTAAAGAAAAAGAAAAGGCTATATAATATTTATAAGAGATCAGGTTTAGAATCTGATAAAAAGATATACAGAGACTTTCAAAAATCACTGAAATCTAAACTATCCAAGTCCCAGGACGAGTATATTKCAAAAACCCTTGACTCTGACCTCAGGGAAAGGCCCAAGAAATTCTGGTCATATATTAAATCTAAAAGACAAATCAGAATGACAACAACTGTGTAAAGGCAGATAGCCTGGGTAAGGCAGAAATTTTGAGCAATCATTTACGTAGAGTATTTACAAAAGAAGATGTTTCACACATACCTAACATGGGTAACCGAAGTTTCCTAGCTATGGACTCTATTTTCTTTAACCCAGAAGGGGTGGAGAAACTTATTAGGGATCTTGATGTCAAAAAAGCAAGTGGGCCAGATAAATTACCGACCACGCTTCTCAAGGAAACTGCAGGCGAAATTAAGGGAATGGTCTCATTCCTCTACAATCAGTCATACAAAACAGGTGAGCTACCAAAGGACTGGAGTAATGCAAACATAGTTCCTGTATTCAAGAAAGGAGCTAAGCACGTTCCTGCCAATTATATACCAGTGTCACTAACTGTTGTACTATGCAAGCTAATGRAGSATGTTATCTACAGGAATATARTGCATCATTTAAATAAGTGCAACATACTATTCAAGAATCAACATGGTTTCCATAAAAATCACTCGTGTGAAACCCAACTGCTTTTAACAATTGAAGATCTGGCAAGGAACACTGACAAAGGTGGTCAAACAGACATCCAAATCCTGGACTTTAGCAAAGCCTTTGACAAGGTCGCACACCAACGTCTAATCCATAAACTGTATYATTATGGTATTCAGGGACATACAATCTCATGGATTACAGCATGGCTTACAAAGAGATCACAAAGGGTTGTTGTAGATGGTGTAACATCAAAGTCAGTACCAGTAACATCGGGTGTACCACAAGGAACTGTGTTAGGGCCGTTAATGTTTCTTTTATTTATTAATGATATACATCAAAATTTAGATGGAACACTGAGACTATTTGCTGATGACGCATTATTATATCGTAAAATTATTAGCGAAGAGGATGCTGTCTYTTTACAAAACGACCTAGATAAAATTGGTTCATGGGCTAAAGAATGGCAAATGGAGTTCAATCCCACTAAGTATAGGTATATAGGAACAAGTCCCCAATATTACAAGACTACTCCCTATACAATCAGAAGCTTTCTCCAGTTAAGGAACATCCGCACCTTGGAGTCACGTTGTCGGACGACCTCAGGTGGAACTCTCACATAAACAACATTGTTAACAAATTCCGCTCTCGGATTTGTCAAACGCAATTTGTATTCATGTAGTGAACACACTAAGTGTACAGCTTATACTTCACTTGTTCGTCCACATCTGGAGTACGCATCAGCCGTATGGGACCCCTATAGGAAGAATCAAATTGACTCTATTGAAGCTGTACAAAGACGTGCAGTAAGAGTCAWTAAGAAASATTTTAGATGGTCTTCCAGTGTGACCAATATGCAGAAATCACTACAATTGGAATCTTTGAAAGTTAGAAGATGATATCATCGTTTAAATTYATTCTATTTAGCTTTTAATAATTTAATAGCACTTCCTATTCCTAATTATTTTTGTGGTTCAACTCGTGTAACAAGAAATCATTYCAGCACAACATTTATCCAGGTGGCTGCAAATCACGGTTATTATTTACACAGTTTTTTTCCTAGGATAATAACAGATTGGAACGCTTTACCTATTGATGTAAGATCCCTAAATTATACAGGATTTACCAGCTTAATGAAATCTTATATTTATATTAATTCTCAACATAGTAATTAATTTTATTTTCCTATTTAAACATTTTTAATATTTATTGTATTTATAATTCAAAATTACATATTTTAGATTTTAGCTTACGAATATCATTACATGTTGATATTTATAATCGTTAATTTTTATTATTATTATTGATATTTTTTTTGACCAAAGTTGTAAATTTACTTTATTTTGATTGGTCCTAGACTTGATGCGAAAGCGTTGTCTAGTATTAAATTGTAAATGTAAATGTAAATGATTACAACATCTTTCACCAGCACCACACTAAAATGGAGAACATTCTTCATTCAAAAAGAAAGRAGAACAGCACATATACCTTTCTTGTGTTCAATATTTTGAATAAGAGTGATGACATTTCTCATTTACCACAAATCAAATGGGGAAATGACCCCGAAAAAGATGCTATAAAAGCATTTATGTCTGATGTGGCATTACAGCATGCAAATGGACTTAATGGATTCAGACAATGTGGCTTGTTTATAAAGTCTGATTATCCATTTCTTGCTGTGTCTCCAGATGGTATGTTTTTATGTGATTGTTGTATTCCAGCTGTACTTGAGTTGAAATGCCCATACAAAGTAAAAGATGAAGACATCACCTTAGAAGCCACTTACAAACGTGTTGACTTTCTAGAAGATGTGGAGGGGAAGCCAAGCCTTAAGCGTTCGCACAAATACTACACGCAAATTCAAGCCCAGATGTGGGTAACAGGCACTGACCATGGATATTTTATTGTATGGACTAAAGGACACAAACCAATGTATGGAAGAGTGGAGCTTGATAGGAATTTCTGTAACATTGTTGTGAACAATATTACTCTGTTCTACAAGACATATGTTTTGCCATGCATGTTGGGGTATAGAGACATATACCAATGCCCAAAATGTGATGATGTTATTCTAGAAGTGCCGGAGATCAGCACTCCAGAAACCGAAAACAGCATTAGCTGTGACAAATGCAATACTTGGTGGCACCTGACATGCACTGGTCTGTCAGAGGATGTTGCAGATTCTCTGGAATCATGGGTCTGCACCAGCTGTCTAGTTGATATGTCCCATGTTGACAGTGCATCAGACAGCGATAGTGTTCCTGAAGTGGATTTAATGTACACTACCCTTGATATTGATGAACCATCTACTAGTGGTTTGTATCAAAAAGACAATGATTTATGCAGTGTATGTTTAAGGCAAGATATCCCTGTGGGTCAGGAACATATATGCACCATTTGCAAGAAAGCTGTCMATGCATGGTGCAGTAATCATGAGGACATTACCAGCTCAKCTGACTTGCTATGTGCACTATGTTGCTAATAAAATAGCACAATTAATAGAYTGCTATGTATTTTTTTTTAATTTCATAATCATGATTGTACAATCATATAGTTGCCATCTCTTTTCTGGTAATAATGCAAATATCCATATTTAATTAACTGAAACAAAAGCTTCAAWATCAGATTAAATAATATTGACTACAACATGTATATAAATATTAACCACAACATAATAATTTTGCGCATAGAAAACAAATATTTTCTATTTTTAAACACATGTTTTCCATTGCAAAGTTTGCMATAATTATTAAATATTTTAAAACGTTTTGTTATAATTGTCTTGTACAATAACTTTCTCGCACTGCCTCATGAGGAAGACATTTATGATAAATATGCTTATAAATATTAATAAAATATTTTGTTATTTGTCRATTTGTTTCATTGTTCATCTTTTAGGTCTGCTAAGTTATTTGCTAACATCAGTGCATATTCAAGAGCAGTTATCATTGGACTGTGAAAAAAATATTTAATATACCTAGTTATACATGTACTTTGTGTCTAGTAGTGCTTACTAGTTTTGAAATCATTTCATAGTCCATGAAAGTTTTTCTACTATATAGTAAGGTTGTTACTCAAACAAAAAGGGAAGTAGATTGCATACTTTAACAATGTCGTCAACTAGAGGTAGTAGACTGATTGGCAGCTCATGTTTCAAAATGCGGAACAGTTTTATCCTACCAATAGCCTGCTCAACATAAATTCTGACATTGGCAATATTCAATGTTTTTCTGACACCAGATGGCAACATCTGCATTGAGGCGGCACAACTTGGAGGAATACATAATTAGCTTACCTAAGTTAAAAGATCAACTAAAAAAACTTAGATGTTTGACATTTGGTTTTTCTTGTGTTTAAAGTTTTCAAAAGAAGCCAGAAATGAATAAGCTTCAGCTGTTTCATAGAAATTGAGAAACAGAAGGAGTGGGAGAAAGACACGAACTTASTATCAAAACATGATAAATACACCAAACAACTAGAAGAATTTAGTGATTATGTTACCAGAGGCATAGTGATAAGGTCCAAAGCAACGTGGTATGAATTAGGTGAGAAAAATAATAAATATTTTTTAAATCTGGAAAAGCGTAATAAAGCCAAGACTCATGTGAAAAAGCTTATAGATAAGGACAATAATGATATTATACTAGATACAGAAATTCTGCGTACAATAGAAAACCACTTAAGTAAATCATTTGAACCAAAATCCAACAAAACATTAGAAAATTGGTCTACAAGAAAAAGATTTCCTGCGATGGGCAGGAATATTTCATGCAATACCAAAATCATGGAAAAGGCTATTGACTCAAAAAAACTGAAGAAATTAATAAAGTTAATTATCAAGTTGATGAGAAAATGTTTGTAAATGATAAACTTATTGAAATAAGGAATATTGTTTCTTTGATCAGTCAGGCTATCCAGTTGAAAATTGGTAAAATTTGCATAACTTACAGCGATATTCGTTGTATCTCTACCAGCCGTTTGAAAAGTTCGTTTTGATTTGGTCTTTTGTGGASCGTCAATCAACTAGTGGGCGGAGTTATGTAATGGTTAGCCGCTGACCGGTGGGCTTTTGTGCAAATATTTTCGCTCGTTGACGAGAAAAATATAAGCTTAAGCTTAATTCATGAAATCATGACGAAAAGTTATCYGAAGGAACTACGCTGGAGGGTTGTTTTTATGCTTCGAGAAGGTAGAACAACGTCCGAAATTGCACAGACGCTGCATGTTGGTAAAACGTTTGTCAAAAAGATCAAACGCTTATTCGATACAACTAATTGTGTTGATGACCGACCAAGGTCAGGCAAGTTGAGAAGCTTKAGAGGTGAGTACATGTAAGCTCATATTCTTTCTGATATTGTAAACTAACGAATATATGAAATAAAAATAACTTAGAATCTAACTCCTTTGCAGCACAAGAAATATGGCTATTGAAAAATATTATCGGTCTACCTATTATATAGGTCTACGAAGACGAAATTCAAGATTGCTATTGCTTGCTATTCATAGGTGCATAAAAAAAATGGGCTGGACGAGAAAAAAGGTACGGTCAGCCGACAAGGACCGACAAAACTTGTATATTTGGTTTTTACTCACTAACAATTTGACTGTCAGTGTCAGAAATCTATAAAGGTCTATATAGGTCTGTTGACAATATTCCATGTATGTTTGACATGTAAGCTTACATAAGTCTTTTTATATGAAGTTATAAACCTTACATAAGTTATATACCAACTCTCGCATTATACTGCTCATAAAACTTTTCACTAATACCGGTATAGCTTATTTCCATGGCCATAAAATCAAGCTATAATGTATATAATTTTGCATTTTATATATAAGATTAGGAAAAGTGTGAAGCAAATAGCTCCAAGTTAGAGCAATAATTGTATAATATACTGTCTTTCTGTCTACAGCTTAGTCTTATTGCATACCAGAGAAATGAAAGATTACGTGCTGAGTTCCATAGGAGAATATYACAGTTTGAACCACACCAATTACTTTTTATAGATGAATCGTCAAAAGATGAAAGGACATTCCAGGTTGAAACAAAATAAGCAATACAAACAGGTTGTGCATTTGCTTAATTAGTAGCTAATCAGTGTCTATACTCAACTTCCAGAGGCGCTATGCTCGTGGTCTGAAAGGTAGAAGAATTTCTGTGAAAGGACATTTCACCAGAGGAACAAGATATAGTGTTATTAGTGCCCTCAGTATCCAAGGTGTTGTAGGATCCCATACTATTTTGGGGGCTTTCAATCAGGAGCAATTTGAATTTGCAGTTACAAACTTTATATTGCCATTTGTTGGATCATGTGCTAGGAGGGAATCCTGTTCTGTTGTTATATTGGATAATTGTACTATCCACAACTCTAATGAAGTATTTCAAGCCATTAGAAGAAGAGGTGGTATTGTAATGTTTTTGCCGTAAGTGTCTCCAGTTAGCCTAGCGAGAAAACTATTTTGTTTGTGAAAGTTGATAATCAACAAAAGAAAACAATTGTGTTAGTGTTTACTATTACTATCTGCAAAGTGTTTAAATTTTCTTTTATTTACAAATTTACTCTAAACTACAATTTTACTAACAATTCATAAATCTAAATTCTTTCAGACCTTATTCCCCTGATATGAATCCAATATAAGAAGCATTTGGTTCTTCAAAGGTTTGGCTACAAAGACACCCAGATGTATGTACTAAATATCCAAAGTGGTGCTTTGAAATTTCATTGGAGAAGGTACACTATTTATAATTATTACACTAATATTAACACAGATGCCATTTTTAGTCCATATATAGTGTGTTTGCTCATATACTTATTGGGAGTTATATATGTTTAAGAACKTAATACTGCTGCATAGTATTAGTTGCTTCAAGCTAGGGTATAAAGTATGAATGCACTAATAAATGTAAGAATAAGAAATTGAAATGTCTTTAACAAATTGAAAAGTTTTCCATTGTCAATACTCTTATTGCTCACAGCTATGGCGTCAAAAAATGTTCAAAACTCGAGTGGAATCACAAGTGTAGCGCTGACGCGTTATTGGCAGTACTCTTATAACAATGGCTCTCGACCAATCAGATTGCAAGAATGTTGTCAAATGTAAAATTTATTATAAATACCGGTACAAGTCAAGTGTTTGATTACACGCTACAAACTTGGTGATAGAATACAAAGTTATTGTGCCTAGGGATTCAAACTTTACAACAATTACTATTTTGTCTTGTAGATAACTGATGAACAAAGTGCAGGCTTTTTTATGGACAGTGGTTACTTTTAACCAACAAAACACAAGGTGCTTTTTAACCMAAAAAATGAAAAGTTTAGTACGTTTAACACAACAACTATTATTCAGAACTGAATAAAAAACTCCAACAAGGATTTGAATGACAGTTACTGTAAAAATATTGTTAATGATTATTAATAAGTATTGCTAATAATTTTTAGCCATTTCCTTTTTGACTGCATTAACAATTACAGACCCTTCCCCTTTATTGATCCCCATACCCTCCAGGATGCTAAAGCCCAAACTTGGGTGGCATAACCTTGCCAACAATGGCCCATCTACCTCTGCCTCTACAAATTGAGGAATAAATGATGCGAGCTTATTAGCCTCTAGGAATTCAATACAATCTTTACAAGTTTAAGAAATAAGGCTTTTTCTCTCATTGACTTCCTGAGGTTGATAAAACCATGAAACTTGAGGTGATGTGACCTTTGGTGTTGAGCACATTTGTGGACGTGGACTGAACATCATTGGACTCTGCATCTAGACATGTGGATAAAATAAAAGAGATCTGCAGTTTATATTTAAAAATTAAAACTAAAGTGCACAAAATAATGAAAATAGGTTCCAAATTAAACTGATTCCTTTGGATTTTATTGTCTAATAACAACTGTAATTTAGTTATAATTTTGTGCTAATCCAAAAGGTGATAAAGAAAATATTTCTCACCCTGTCAGGGAGCTTATTTGTTATCTTGTGGTTTAAATCAATTACTACACTGTCTCTGATTGGCTAAACTGAATGAAAATATCCTTGAATGTTTGTCTACCTACCGATTTTGGATTGGCACCATAATATAATTAACATTTTTGGCCCACTCACTCTGCCTTGCTGGTTAGCCAGAATTGCTAGAAGTGAAGTTTGAAACACTTCAGTGTTTCTTTGACTTTGTATGAGCATTGTCTTGAGCAGGTCATCACTACTTGCACTGCTGGTGTCTGGGCTTTGTGATTTTTTTCCCCTTCCTTGTTTTGGTGGAACTCCAACCAAATCAATCAAATTTTCCCA